AACCTTCCTTAAATATCGAGGAAGATATAGATTTGTTAGCTAATTCGTTGATCAGATTGTTAAGTGTCGTTCGTAGATTAATTAGTTGCGCGCACACATGCAGCACGAGTATTGAGACAAAGTTGTCAACGGTGTAATTAGCCATAACTGAGGATATTGCGCCGATTAATTGAAAGACAAAGCTGATTTCGTAGGCCGGACTCTTTTGAATATTTTCTAATCGATAGATGAGGTGTCGTTGAGGCTGGTGTATAGTTTTAAAGAAATGCATAGAATAAAAAGTAATAAAAAATATTGACATGCTTGCCGCGGACATCCAACAAGTAAAAGATAGATTTCTGCCACGTTTCGCGATTTTCATCATGGTGTTCCGTTCCCAGTTGCTCGTCGAAGTTATCCAATCGGTCACTATTGATGCTATCAGAGACCGCAGTGCTGTCAGATTGAAAATCAATACAAATTGACATTATTAAAACATTAAAACTTTTTTAAAAACATCGTAATTAGGATATAATATCTGAAAGATCTTAATGACTTATGTCCCAACGTGAACATAAGACATGCTACTGTTTGGATATATAAAATATTGTCAAGGAAATATCGTATATATTGTCATACAATTGTACGATATTTTACGCTTAAATAAGAGGCATGAAGTTTTGACATTTTATATTACAAACAGTAAAAGTTAATCTATCCATTTATATCGTTGTGAAAAGAGAACTTACTCTTGCTGTGATACCAGGTAACCAACAATTTGAACACTGCCAGCATGCTGGAATTCGCGGAGATAAAATATTCTGTCATCCGAGTCACGTTACCCCGAGCACGGATCACATTCATTATTTGCGGTACTGATATGTACAGACTTATAATACATACAATGATAATGAGTCTTAAATTTGGCCAACGAAAATCACTCAGAGGGATATATGGATCGGGCCATATGCCAAATACCCGCAGCCATTGACGGATCAGGGTAAACATGTAATTCAAATCTATAAAGTAAAATTTTTA